AAATACCAAAGGTCCATATATTCAGGGGTAGAAAATCATATCATTGTCATCGCCTTCACAACTATATTTGTTATGGAACAATGTGCTACTTCATTTCAAAATGATATTTCTTTATGTATAGGCCTATATTTGTCTTCAACATTTTAATGAACATACTTGACCTAATCTTTACAACACGAGAATCAGACTAGATACTGATCTATTGTGCCGTACACGTTACTAATTATTGATATTTTAATTTATGTTATTGTTGAGCTTTAAATCGCTTTGACATATTCAATGGCACGAATCATAAATACATGTATTCAGATATATACTTCGTACTTGAAATAAAACTAAATTTATATGCTGTAAAAATATCGTAGTGTCATTTGTTATTCTATTAATATTGAACACAAATTAATTTCTGACATTGAATAAATATGTTGACTATTAACTATATATGAGATCGATTTAATTACCCGTTGCCATTAACCTTTTGAAAAAACACTTAACGTTCAATTTTATTAGTATATGAAATTCAAAAGACACTGTATCAATGCACAGAAAGTCCTTGTGTGCAGCATATAAATTGTATTTTAAGAAATTGGATGCTACAGGCCCGTTCAAGGCACACGATCTCATCCTAACCATTAGACTAACTCTTTGTGGCGTTTGGTAAATGTATGGCATAGGCAACGGGCAATAATTCATTTACAATTTGGATATGTTTAATGACTCGAAATCAACCCAAGCCCAAAGTCAAGCCGCGTACGTGTAATCAGATTCATTATGATGTAGTGCCGATAGCTTACTACACACTGAGACATAAAATTACCTTTGGGTAAAATAAAATCTAAACTATAGTTTCCTAAACACCTCGGGGTCATTTGTTGTGAGGTGGTGGAGATTATATAATATATAATGATGATGCTAATGATGATGATCATAAATTTAGGAGTGGTTTGACGCAGCGGTCGCGGTTCTGCGTCTCAACCCTGAGGTCGGAGGTTCAACCTCTCGCTTGTGCATTCGCTTGTGTCCTAAAGCCGGTTTTCCACTAGGCGAATTTATTCGCGCGAATGGAAAGTGTCGGTTCGCTTTCTGAGCGAAAACTCTCAGAGAAACGTGAATGCGCGTGCTTCCAATTTGCATGAATAAATTCGCCTAGTGGAAAACCAGCTTTAGGCAAGACATTTTTCCTACGGTACGGTACGGAGTACAAGTGGGTACTTGGTAGGTTCAAACACAAAATGCGCTGATTACAGCTCTCAATCCTCATCTTCAGCTGCAACATTATGGAATTCTCCCCAGGGAGCTGAGTATGTGTTATGTGCTTGATCCAATGACATGGGTGATAATGTGAAGCGCTTAGAGACACGGCACGAAGCGCTATGTTAGTCTAACATTATTATTGTTATTATTTATTAATATTTATTTATTATTATTATTGTTATTATTATTGTTATTATTATTATTATTATTGTTATTATTATTATTATTATTATTATTATTATTATTATTATTATTGTTATTATTATTATTGTTATTATTATTATTATTATTGTTATTATTATTATTATTATTGTTATTATTATTATTATTATTATTATTATTATTATTATTATTATTATTATTATTGTTATAATGTAGTAAGGTAGTGGGACTTGATATAGCCCATGTTACTGAAGTCTCAATGAGCTTAATGAGAATTAACGGAGGGCGATATGAAGAGAAGTACTGAGGGCTGATGATGATGATGATGAGGAAGA